ATCGAGGATGCGTCGATACAGACTTGAGCGCAAAACTCAGTCAAGAAGTCCTAGAAGATATTGCCACTGAATAAAGGAAGTGGGAAGCGCAGCATTTTATATAGATTTCTTATGAAAGTTCAGAGAGTGTTACAGGCTGACTCACCATTGTGAACTGTATGCCAAAGCTTAGTGACCTTCTCTGAATGTAAGATGGTACAACCACTGGAAGACTCTGGTCTACAAGGCTCTTCTGGGACTATTGCCTTCTTCATACCCAAGTTTCCTTCTTCATATGTCAAAAAGCCAGTATGCCGTACGTACAAATGAATCTTATCATTTGACTGTTCCCCGGGTTCAAACTGAAATAGGGAAGTGAGCCTTTAGTCATGCTGCCCTCTCATCCTGGAATACTCTTCAGTCTGAACTAAAAATGTCTGAGCTCATCCTAATTACTAATTTCGCCCTAACCCTTTTTGCAAACAACAACAGTCCATTTCTCAATGTATGTGTTTTTAACATATTGTAATGTGGTATAGCTAAACAACTAAACAGTATTTTTAAATTTTCTTAATTTTATAAAAATGTATAAAATTATAATTATTATTTTTTATAGGTTGTGTGTTACAGACCTCATGGCCAGGTCACCCATGTAAATGAGATCTTGACCTCTATGGGTTTTTATCTGGTTAAATAAAGAAACTATATATATATATATATATATCAGGAAGAACACAGAATCTTATTTTTCACAGGACATGTTCTCTGTTCTCATGTTCTCACGAGTTTGTTCTTCTGAGGTGACCTGGCAAGACCGATCTTCACAATAATGCAAGTCCGTTCCCTATGAAAGTAAATCAGTAGCAATACTCGAGAGCTTGCAAATGTAAATGTGAGCACTTGTGATAATAATATTTGTATGTGTAGGTTGAAATGTACACTTACAGCTCTGATGTGAACAGCTGAAATCCTCGATTTGCACACACACACAACAATCCACACACTTGTGTTTTGAATTGGAAGTTGCAGATTAATAGTTGTGTATTTGTAAAATGTCATTCACAAATACAAAGTGACAGACACACGTGTGCACGGCAAATTTGACTGCATCTTTGCTCTACAACCACAGGTCGGCACTCACAACCTCTCAGATTCGTCAGTACAACTACAAATCTCCCGCGCTCTGACTTTTGCTACACATCTCCCGCGATCTCTGTAGCAGAACTCATCTGTGCACTTGCAAATGCAGAGGCGTGAGCAGCGCGGGGCGGGGGAGGGGCGGGGCTGGTGTAAAGCTGTTTCATTGGCTGAAGCCTGACCAATGAACAATGCCAGCAGCCAACAGGACTGAGGTGCAAAATAATCATTTGCCACGATTATTTTATTATTTAGGGTTTATTTAAACTCTTTTCTGAAAAGATTTTTGTTAAATATCATTAATTCTACTGTAATGTACATACCAGTAAAAGAGCAGCAAAGCCAGTTTATTGGCTACAGCCAGCCAATGAGATGGGGCGTTTCTGTTTGTCAGCACACAGGGCAGCTCACGTTGTTGGAGGCCTCGAGCAATCAGAGGGTAAGTTATGATTTTTTAATAATTATCTATATGTTCAATACTGTTAGCTAAGCTAAGGACTGTGCTGGGTGCTTCTCTTGTTTGTTTTTTATATAAGAAACAGTTTTGAGTTATCTAGGAGCTGCTTTCAATCATGTTATATGGTTCTAAAGATACGATTCAACCCACATGAAGAAGAACATAAGAAGTTGTAATAGTATTTATAGTAAACAATATTACGTTTTTGAACCATACTAACTATAATAAACTGTATTATACTGTATATATTGCAGTATCTACAACTTTGTTAATGAATGCAACAGCACACTGTAGTATTAACTAGCATGAACTTTAATAAATTGAAATATATATATATATATATATATATATATATATATATATATATATATATATATATATATATATATATATATATATATATATATATATATATATATATATATATATATATATATATATATGTAGCTTAAATTTGAAAAAATTGAAATATAGCTATCTGTTTAAAACTAAACATTCTAATGCCATTTATTATGCAAATATCAAGTTGAAACAAATCTGTTAAGAACACGCATTTATATGTAAAACCTAATACATTTTAAAGCAGTTTCATTTCTTTCTAATTTATACATCTACATGCATTACATCTGATTTAGGTCCACAACTTGCATCCTTCAACATGATATGTGTGTTCAAAGGAAGAGCAACTAGGTGAGGGAGACAGTGTCCATCGCTCGGCTGAGGGTCCACTTTGAGCATCTCATCTGCAGGGTTAAGCAACATAAGCTGAACAGTCATCATCTCTCTCTATTACAGCGAGCATCAACCAGCTTTACACAACGGCCTGCTTTCTGACCATTAGTAAAGGCTTGAGCAAAGTATCAAAGAGGAGATAACATTTGATGGGTAATGATGAAGTTGGATTTACCACCTCCATCTCATTATGAACAAGGAAAAACCCTGAAATATTTCAATACAAGTAACTAGACATTTGCACTGCACTAATTTGGACTGTAAATTTTATTTGACAAATTACATTCCCTTACAGAACAGGTGTCAAACTCAGTTCCTGGAGGGCTGCAGCTTTGCAAAGTTTAGTTCTAACCCTAATTAAACACACCTGATCAAACTAATTGAGTCCTTCAGGTTTGTTTGAAACTTTCACTTAAGTGTGTTGAAGCAGGGTTTCAACTAAAAACGTGCAGGGTTACGGGCCTTCAGGAACTGAGTTTGACACCCCTGCTTTACAGTAAAGTGTAAAAATACTACACTAAACAATTATCAAAATAAAAGTTGTGTGTGTGGGTGAGTGTGTGTTTTGTTCAAATCTGTAGTCATCTTGGCAGGTAAAAAGAGAAAATAAATGGTCGGCTTCCTCTTGAATGATCTGAATCATTTTGAAGTGTTTGTAGATGAGCTGGATCCTCATGTCATCTTTAGCATAAATAACATCCTATTCAAGCTATGCAGCTTCTCTGAGTTCCTCATTGACTTGAAACACGCTGATCTCTCCTGTCACTCCATCCTTACAGGAAACTGAGAAATAACCTATAGTTAGTAACGTTCATAATTAAAAAAGTGATATAAAGGACACACTGTACACAAACATGTAAATAGATAGATGGATAGATAGACATGATGCAGGTTATAATAACCAAAACCGGTATGATCTGTAAGAAACTGAAACGCCTAGTGTTATTTTTAATTGCTATTAATGTGTGTGTGTGTGTGTGTGTGTAAATATACTTCAATTTATTAAAGTTCATGCTAGTTAATACTACAGTGTGCTGTTGCATTCATTAACAAAGTTGTAGATACTGCAATATATACAGTATAATACAGTTTATTATAGTTAGTATGGTTCAAAAACGTAATATTGTTTACTATAAATGCTATTACAACTTATTTCATGTGGGTTGAATCGTATCTTTAGAACCATATAACATGATTGAAAGCAGCTCCTAGATAACTCAAAACTGTTTCTTATATAAAAAAACAAACAAGAGAAGCACCCAGCACAGTCCTTAGCTTAGCTAACAGTATTGAACATATAGATAATTATTAAAAAATCATAACTTACCCTCTGATTGCTCGAGGCCTCCAACAACGTGAGCTGCCCTGTGTGCTGACAAACAGAAACGCCCCATCTCATTGGCTGGCTGTAGCCAATAAACTGCTTTTGCTGCTTTTTTACTGGTATGTACATTTCCACAGAATTTATGATTTTTAACAAAAATCTCTTCAGAAAAGAGTTTAAATAAACCCTAAATAATAAAATAATCGTGGCAAATGATTATTTTGCACCTCAGTCCTGTTGGCTGCTGGCATTGTTCATTGGTCAGGCTTCAGCCAATGAAACAGCTTTACACCAGCCCCGCCCCTCCCCCACCCCGCGCTGCTCACGCCTCTGCATCTGCGAGTGCACAGATGAGATCGCGGGAGATGTGTAGCAAAAGTCAGAGCGCGGGAGATTTGTAGTTGTACTGACGAATCTGAGAGGTTGTGAGTGCCGACCTGTGGTTGTAGAATGGAGATGCAATCAAATTTGCCGTGCACACGTGTGTCTGTCACTTTGTATTTGTGAATGACATTTTACAAATACACAACTATTAATCTGCAACTTCCAATTCAAAACACAAGTGTGTGGATTGTTGTGTGTGTGTGCAAATCGAGGATTTGAGCTGTTCACATCAGAGCTGTAAGTGTACATTTCAACCTACACATACAAATATTATTATCACAAGTGCTCACATTTACATTTGCAAGCTCTCGAGTTTCGCAACTGAATTACCTTCATAGTTCCCTGTGTTCTTGGAATTGAGTCCTAGCTTTGGTTGTCGAACGAAAAATAACTGATTTGGAACTAAATGTGAGGATATTGGCGTTAAATATGATGTGCTTGTAAGACCAGTCAGATCTTGCAAGACACATCAGATCTCACGATTAGGGCCAAACAGAATCTGCAAACATTTTTTACTATTTCTGCAAAGTATTTTGTAAAAAAATTGGTGGATTTGTGCAGAATTATTTTGGGAGTATTATAACTAAAAACGTAATATATAAAATTAAAATAATAATTTTTTAACTTTTATTTAATGTTTACAATGCAAATTCATCTAGATTCACTTATTTGGTAAACTAAGCAAGTCTTACAGTATATCCACTAAAAGACAGAAACTATTACTTAAAAAAATGTATTGTAAATAAATCATATGAGCATTTTAATATTAGTCAATAATATTACTGAAAATATTTAAAAACTAAGTAAATATAAAATTACACATATTTACACAAGAGAATAAACAAACCCAATGATGGGCTAAAAACGTGGATTTCTGAGTGTGCAGTTTCCATGTGGGCCTACTCATGACTCTTTTAATAATAGTGTATTAATCAGGTTTCATTCACTATTAGGAAATGTTTATCTATATTTTCTTTGTCTTGTTAGCTTGCGATGGTACCAACACCCCACAGAAGACGAGCTGAGGACTCTGGCTGGAAAGCAGCAGAAAGGTGGCAAGAGCAAAAAGGACAGGTACAACACTGCATTTCTCCAGATTGCTCGCACTTGTTTGAAGAACATTTTGCGGCTCCAACAAAGTGACAAAAAAAATAAAAAATCAAGCAGCTTTGTTGCCCGTATTCGGCTGTAGATGAAAGCTGTCGACTATGCATACAATGCTAATTCCCTGAAAAGGTAGACTAGCCTGTGTCTAGCAGCTTAGTTTTGATAGTCAGCTCTATTATACCTACCTCCTGTTCTCAAACAAAAGTCCATTTTTGCTCTGCGGGGAGTTCTTGGGCCATTTTGTCAGGCAGGTATGCCGCAATCCAGCGCAGAGAGACTACTGTGCCCACAGTGCTTTTGTGCTGAACACCATTGTGCACACTGACCTATGTAAACAACAGAGACCCAGAGGAGAAGTCCAAGAATCTCAGGTTCAGCTGGCTTGGAGCCACAGGGCAGAAAGCTTGCATACTCGACTCGTTCACGCTAAGGACTGTGCCCCTTTCCAATATCCCACCGCTCCCAGCAGAGCCCGACATTCATTTCTCTGTTCTTTGTCATGCAGACGGCATTAGAGATGGCTGAAAATATGTTTGATTTGAACGTTGTATGGATTTAGCTCTTTTTTTTTTCAATAGCGAGGAGGGTTTCTCTAATCCCCCCGTAAAATGTGCAAACTCTAGTGTTTGGTCTCCAATAGAGACAGAGCCCTCTGTTGGGATGTATCTGTACAAAATCCTTTGGACAAAGTTGAAGATCCCACACATTGATGCCTGCTTCTCAGATGCATTCCTTTGACTTTTCATCATTGGGAATTTTTTTATTGCACTGTTGCTTATGTTAGGTTTCCTACAAAGAGAAATTGTCCAAAAGTGACCCTGAAGATTTTTATTTTAAATTAATTAGATTCTTTTGAGCAAGTAGTTTTCACAAGTAATATTAAAAATTGTAACATTTCAACATTAATAATGAGAGGTTTTTTAAGCATCAAATTAGACCCACAAATTAGACTTATTTCTAAAGGATTATATGATAGGAGTAATAAAAATTTAGTTCAATTGTATTCCTCGACAGTAATTAATCATCACTCCACTTTTTTAAGTCCCCTACAGTCAAAAAGACCAGTAGCATCTTGCTAAAAAAGAGTTTAGATAATTTTCTTATTTAAAGCTTGGCCTCTGGTTACATTGAGTACTAGACCGACAGTAAATAAAAAGTTACTATTTTTTCGGGCTAGGTTCATATTAGTGATGCACTGATCCCGATACTTGAATTGAATGTCTGTTTGATACCACATAGTTTTGCTGGATCTGGGACTGATCCAAATCCGTTCTTGCGCATGCGCTATATTGCGTTTATAAGAAAACTAAGCCATGAAGGTAGCTTATAATAAGGACCTAGAAAGTTGTCATGTAGACCTACTGTACTATATTCCAAATGTTCTGAAACCATTCTGTGGTTTAATGTGAAGTGCAGATAAACGTTCAAGTGGTTAAATTCATGTTCAGTTTAGCGCTTTCCGCCACTGCACCTCTCAATCATTCTCCATTCATTCTGATTAAATTAAATAAAGTAAAACTGATGCAATATGGATTGGCATTAACAGAACATTATTTAGCCTGATATAAGCTACTCTGAAACTGTGAATAATTCACTGCAATTTTATTTATATTAAAATTTTATTTGACAGACCAGTTTGTGTTTTGTCGCCAAAGTATATAAGCAGACCTTGTTTTGAACTTCCTCTGTCTCATCACGGCAAGATTTAATGAGGGATTATTAAGTAAAACTGGCCTTAGTTTATTTTAGTCTGCATCAAACACAGTGGTGTAGCGGACGGGCCCGCAGGGCACGCACTACGGGGGGGCTCTGGGCACTAAGGAGGCCCTGCACGACCCACCCCCTGCGGTATTTCCGTGACCGTCAAAACATACATATAAATATATTATTATTATTATTATTATTATTATTATTATTATTATTATTATTATTATTATTATTATTAGCCCCTCTGAATTATTAGCCCATCTGTTTATTTTTTTCCCCAATTTCTGTTTAATGGAGAGAAGATTTCTTTTACATATTTCTAAACAAAATAGTTTTAATAACTCATCTCTAATAACTGATTTATTTCATCTTTGCCATGATGACAGTAAATAATATTTGACAAGATCTTTTTCAAGTCACTTCTATACAGCTTAAAGTGACATTCAAAGGCTTAATTAGGTTGAGTAAGTTAACTGGGCAGGTTAGGGTAATTAGGCAAGTTACTGTATAACAATGGTTTGTTCTGTAGACTATCAAAAAATATATAGCTTAAAGGGGCTAATAATATTGACCTTAAAATGTTTTTTTTTTTTTTTTTTTTTTTTTTTTTTTATGAAGACTTTCTCCAAAGGGAAAAAAATATTATCAGACATACTGTGAAAATTGTCTTGCTCTGTTAAACATCATTTGGGAAATATTTAAAAAAGAAAAAAAAATTTACATGTAAACAATAATTGCCATTTACAAAAATAGCCACTGTGTACTTAGGCCTGAGGTATTTATTAAGGATTTTATGAATTTCTTTATAACTTAAAAGAGCTGTAATTTATTGAAGCAATAAATTGTTCAAGCCAGTCACATACAAGTTTTGAGAATTTGCAAAAAATGTTAATGCATTTTAAATAATTACAATACTAATTATGTACATTTTTGTCATGTGGGTCAGAAAATGCAATGTCACGTCAACAACCTACCACCGTGCTGGAAAAAATATGTGACGTTATAGAGTACTGCCGTAACAATATTACTTAGAATATAACATCTCTCTTGAGAAATGCTATTTGTATTAGCTATTTTTAAATCATTTATGTAATGCTATTAAAATAAACAGGTAAAACATATATATATATATATATATATATATATATATATATATTTTTTTTTTTTTTTAGATCTAATTGATTCTTATTAAGACTTAAAAAAAAATCTGTTTCAATAAGTGAAAAACTCTAATAAAACGCAAATAAAACGCAAATATTCTGAGTCTGACTAACTGTTGTCTTGATTCCCACCATACGTATTTATTCTCAACTTTGGCTTCACTTTTAGGGTGCTCCAGCCAATAGCAGATCAGCAACTACTGGGGAGGTGGGGATAATGATAGCAAGGCCCCATCCGATTAGTCAAATTTAGATAATCAATGCATAAAATAAATGTAATTTATACATATATCGCATATGCTATTATCACAACATCAATCATTTTGCTATATATCATGCAGTCCTAGTTTCCATTTAGTTTCCCTTTGTCTCGAATAGTTAAACATGGCTGCAGTAAATCTAAGCTTGTGAATTGGATTCCCAGGGAAAGCGGTAAATTATCAAATGTGTACCTTCTATGTTATGCTAGGGTAATAGCAATTGCTTTGGGTAGTAGCCCAGTTGGGTTGTATTAATTTTAATACAAATTTCACAATACTATTGGCAAATGATCTGAGAAAAGAAATCACTCTACTGTATTTCTTTTTTTTAACCAAAATATACTTGGCAATTGTGTGTGTGTGTGTGTGTGTGTGTGTGTGTGTGTGTGTGTGTGTGTGTGTGTGTGTGTGTGTGTGTGTGTGTGTGTGTGTGTGTGTGTCTTTGTGTTTTGACTTGGCCTACTTTGAGCAAACTTTTACATGTGCTATGTTCACATTTTTGCTTTTCAGAAAGTACAATGGGCACTTAGAGAATAAGCCGATGACTATTCCCAAAGACATCGACCTTCAACTGGAGACAAAGTGCATCGCAGAAGTGGACACACTGGGTAACTCGCACGTTGTCATAGATGAGACCTAATGAACCCTTGAGCTTCAAGGATCTACCTATTAAGACCAATTCCTAAAGCTTCTTTTTGTTCGACTTCTCTTTTTGTCCAGCTCTACATTATTTTCCTGAATTCCAGTGGTTGGTGGATTTCACGGTGGCCGCCACGGTGGTGTATCTCATCACTGAGTTGTACTTCTGTGTGGCGGAGCCCAGTGGAGAGATGAACATCAGTGTGGTGTGGAGTCTGCTGGTCTTAGCCTTTGTCATGTATCCTTTTCGAGCTCGAAATACTTGAGTTTTCCCTTTCATAATACATTGGGAATAATTCTTGTAATTATTTCATTATGTGCATAGCTGTAAACTATTGTGTTTTTTTCTTATATCAAGAATTTAGTTTTAAAAATTTAAACCCAATCGCAATTCTATTTTTGTACAGCTCTACAACACCTGCACATGTCATCATATGGCATCGCAATCTCTTGCTTCATATGAGATCGACGACTGCTGTTGCGTTATTTTTTTTGTATTTATTTGTAGTATTTATAATAAGCTTGTAACTATACTGCGCATTTGCACCCAGGCCATATTCATCTGTGTAAACACACAAAAACAACATTAACATTATAGAACACACTGTAAAAAGCAAGCAAGCATTGTGTATTGTGTTACATAGCGCATTTATTGTGTATGGCTATACACCAAAGCACTTCACAATTATGGGGGGGTCTCTCTACACCACCACCAGTGTGCAGCATCCACATGGATGGTGCGACGGCAGATACAGGACAATGGCGCCAGTGTGCTCACAGAGACAGTGATAAAGCTAATTCGGTGGATGGGGATGATTGGCAGGCCATGATTGGTAAGGGCCAATGGAAGGAATTTGGCCAGGACAAAAAAGGTCATTCCCAGCTGCTAGACTTTTCTGACAGTTTATTTGAGTGACAGATGCGAAAGTATGTTGTGGGACTGCTATACAGGAGTTATAGGAGTTTTTTTTTTTTTTAAAGCATGTCAATAAAACATGAACACCATTAGGGATGTATTAAACATGCTTGTTTGTTGTAAAAATTCATAATAATGACAAAAAAATACTAGTTTGTGCATCTCCTGACTTCTGGTTGCAGCCTTGTTGTCGTTGTAGATGTTTGTATTCTGGGAAATTGTCTTACCCCTTGGTTTAGAGTGTGGTCCTGAAGAGTCTATGTTTCAAGGGCTATCTAGCCCTTCCCCTTAGCCCAACGCCTTGAACCTAAAGAGAATTGGGACACCCCTACCTCTTCATGTGAATGCATAAAATGAGGGGTAGTGGAAAGGACTAAGTGCAAGAATTGAGATTGGGCCATAGTTACAAATGTGATAAGTCATTTTATATATTTATTTTTTACAGTAAAAGAATAAATAAAATTGATCAAAATTGCATTTTTTGTTAAAGACTTTAAGACTTTAAGACTTAAATTTTTGACTAATTGGTATTATATATATGTAAAAAATAACAGTATAAGTTTACTATAAAATAGTATGCACTGTCAACAGTGGTAAGAAATATTACATGAATGCACTTCTGAAGAATCTGTTATTTACACAATATTGCATTTTTACAATTACTTTTATTTACATGTATTTCATTTTTAGATAAAAGCAGTTTTGATTGGTGGAAGAACATGTGCATTTATACGAAAGTGTAGTGACAAATAAAGGCTTGATTGATTTCAAGAAAGAGTAAAGCATTTAGGCACAAGAAATTGCTTGTAAATTGTTTGTAACTTATAAAGATGCACATTGTTGTATTATTTATACAATGAAGACTATGCAGTACTATTGTACTAATTATTTAATTTCTGTATCTGAATACAGTTTGACTCCCCAGAAAACCATAAGAATAGTTTATTTCACTTTTATCTTGCTTGTTGTAATTATATTTTATTCATTATTCAGTGCCCTATAAAATTACAAATTAAAATTAACAGGATAGTTCACCAAAAAAAAAAGAAAAAAATGAATTATGTAATCATCTACACATCCTTCACTTGTTTATAAAGTGAAAACCTAAAATAAAAAAACCTATTTGAGTTTCTTTCTTCTGTTGAACACAAAAAATACTGTATATAAACTATGGGTCAAAAGTTTGGTGTCAATTTATTTTTTATTTTTTTGGTTTTTATTTTAATTAATTATTTTTAAAAAAAGGATTCTGTTCATCAAGGCGGAATTTATTACATGTAAAAATAAATGTTTAAATTGTTAAATATTTATTTGTATTTTAAATAACTGCTTTTTATTGTTTGTAGTTTTAAATGAATTATTAGTTATTACTCCAGTCAGTTATTGCTTTTATTACTATTACCATTAATAATTAAAATATTAATAATAATACAAATGTTAACAATAATAATAATAACTAATATTAGAGTGATTTCTAAAATATTATGTGACTTGGAAGACTGGAGTAATGAGGCTGAAAATTCATTGTTAAAACCACTTGAATAAATGATTAAATTAAATTATAAACTACTTTTGAACTACTTTTATTTTATAGTGCAATAACATTTCACAATTTTACAATTTGTACTTTATTTGTGATGAAATAAATGCAGCCTTGATAAGCAGGATAAGCTTATTTTAAAGCATTTAAAAATCATACTGACCCTAAACTTTTGACCTGTAGTGTAAATAGCGAGATTTAGCTTTTTTTAACGGAACCTCAGAATAAACCTTTAAAGTTTTTTATTCAAAAACATGCCTACAGTTCCCAAATTATAAAACCTCCTTTGTAAAAGACAACCCTTATGGAGAAGCTCAATTTTCATGCTCGGAGCAGGGACAGTCTAGCCGTGAGTGATGAAAGCTGCACCTGTTGCCTTTTACCTGCTACTTTCCCCTTCTAGTGCCTCGGCAAATCACACACATTAACCCCGGCACAGTCCACAAAGATCAATCTCCCTCCGCTCGCCGCTGCCCTTTACCTAGCTCAGCCTGCCACAGAAGATTGGAGGCCCAATTTTCACGGCCCACCAGACTGATTTGCCTGGGAAAAAAGGAGAGGAAGGAAGGAAGGTGCCTGGTAGGGTGATGAAGATGATGACGATGATGATAGGTCTATATGTGTGCAAATGGCTGAATGTGGACAGGAAGGAGCCATTTTTCCTGATCTCAGTGGAGAGTGTGTGCTGGCGGAAAATGGCCTTGTCAAAGTGATGGTCACTGAAACATTTTCTCAGATGGCCGCCCGCTTGCCTTGCAGATTTGCGCGATGTAGCCACAAGTTGAATGATTGACCCTAGACCAGTATAATCAAAACTGGCACATACGGGCGAGCTGCTGTAACAGGAGAGGCGCAGCTGGACGTTTTCTGTCTTTGCTTTTCAAATTTGTCGTTTCTCACCTTAGGGAAATTATCTTTGACAATGGTTCATGGGGGGTGTTTTAAATGCATTTCTTTAAATTGAAGTCAGGTAATGTGAAGAGTGTTTGGACACAGTCAGGGCGGAAAGTTGACAGATTTCACAGAGTGTTGTGTACTCTGTAAGAGCCACATAATGATGTTAAATGTTTCGTATATTGGGTCAATTTTAGAACACACATTGTTTTCATTTTTCAGATAAAGTGCATGTTTCTTTGTGAGTTTGTTGTGTCTGGGATGACTTGGTAGTGTGTGAGTATTTGTGGTCTTTTACATTTAGTCGTTTAGCATAGTGGTCCCCAACCTTTTTATCACCACAAACCAACGCTTAACAATTTTACTACGGACCGGAGGGTGGTGTTTTCAAAGGTTTCAAGGCTACACTCAACCGTTTTCTCAGAGGATGACAAGCTGACAAAACATTGCTGTCACTCTGATACAAGTTTTATTTATGGAGAAAATTACAAACACTGCAGTTTTTGGGTGTCCCGTGTTTGTCTGAGATAATTAGTCTGCCGAAATGTTAAATAATAATAATTAATCACCTGTGTGGATCTGGAAGGCACGAGCGTGTCACCTTCATTGTAAATATTGAACTTGCGTGAACTAGAAAGAGGTGATATAGGAATGGCCCCTAAAAGGCCGTGCTCATTTGCGATCCCCAGCAGTTGATCTTCTTGCACAGACATGGTAGATTCACCTGGTTTGTTGACAAATGTTTTGTGGATCTATTCCTTGACAGTTTGTAGGTTCTTCACTGAACCTTTTCCTCTTTACAAAGAAACTTTCCAAAGACGTCTGTTCTTAACTCATTTTGCTGCTTGGTTAAATTCGGACGGTCAAGTGACCGAGATGTGATCGAGAGAATACGGTCTTGTTTCAAAATGAAAGATATTTTGAGATAAAAGATTGTTCACACTCAGATAAAATATATATTTTTTTTTTGTGTCCTAAGCGACTTACAATTGAGGAGGCATTCAGCGATTCAACAAGAAGAGGCAATACACAGAGAAGTGTTTGTGCTCAGAGAATTAAGTTCTAGAGTAGATTTTTTTTTTTTTTTTTTTTTTGAGAGAGAGATAGAAAGTGCTTGTATAGGTGGTTTTGGTATTCACCGGGGTTCTGGAGATGGGTTTTTAGTTGTCATGTAAAAGATACTAGTGTGTCCATAGTCCGTATGTGAATTAGAAGATCATTCCACCAGTGAGGAACATTGAACAAAAAGGTTTTGGAAAGTGACTTAAAGCCTCTCTGCAATGGCATCACACCCTGAGGGGAGGTTCCTGGAGAGAATGTAGACCTTCAGGAGCAGGTGGAGATAAGAGGATGCAGTGCCTGTCCTGTAATAGCCCGTTTCCATTCAGTGGACCCTACAGTACAGCTTGTTTTTGGTTGACCCAGGGTTGATCAGAGCTCAAACAAACCTTGACATCGTCTTGATGAACAGCCACAAAGGCAAGAAGAAGAGCAGAGAGTACTGGAGTGTACACTGTTGTTGTTTACAAGGCCTACTAAAGCGCAAGTGGTTTCACTCGCGTGAGCTCGCTGCGCATCTATATTTGAAATAACGAACTTCTTGAGCTGATGATAATAACATGCGTGTGATTATTGAAGTATATTCCTTTCAGAAACGAACAAACGTGAGAATGAAGTGCAAAAAACAAAGGAGAAGCCTGAAAAAACAAAGGAGCGAAATGATTCTTTCAGCAACCCAAACTATGAACAAACTGCCATGTTTAACTATTATCATCACCTATTGGACTATTATGAACTCAAAATGAGGAAATTACTTTCTAACAAGAGGTTACATGTGCTGGGGAAGATTAAAGATACAGATGAGAGGTTTGCACTGACTGGGCTTTATGTTGGGTGTTGTTCTTAAATAAGGACTAAATGTATGTTGTGTGTAGCTTTTCTGTAAATGGGAACATATCAAAGACTGTAAAGGTCTGTATGTGTTCATATATGTTGCATTTATTTATTTATTATTTTATAAAATCACAGACCTTATATACAGTAGGCTATTTCGCATTTCATATTTATCATTGATCTTCAGTTATAATCAAATCCTGTTCACATAAAGGTTAGTAATGAACATTTATACAGAAGTATTTATGTGTGTAAAGCCTGTGTTTTGTGCTTCTCATATGATATGTGAACGACCTGTACAGCTTTACTTTGATTTTCTTTTTCAAGCAAGAATGACGTTGACTAAAACTTTCTGCCCGAAAACCAATGCAGAGAGATCATTTATCGTTTAGAATGCATTCACTTAACACTGTTTTGGGTTTCAAATTTATTTTATGTAATGTTTTTTTTTTTTTTTATTATGATGTCATCTAATATATTTTATAAATTACATATATTGTACAAGTTTAAAGTAGAAAAGTAGAAAACGTCACATGCATGTACTATGGGGGAAACAAGTATTTAACATCACTATTTTTCTCAGAAAACACTCCTAAAAGTGCCAATGACTTGAAGTTTTCACTGGATGGGGGTAACAACCAAAGAAATATAATATAATATAATATAATTTAATAATTTTATAAATTTAATTAGTTTACAAATTAAGCTATGTGTAATAAAATGAAATGACTCAGGAAAAAGTATTGAACACTTGAATAAAGGGAAGCGTAAATAGGCAGTAAGAGTCTAGACAGCAGCTGAAATTTCTCAGTACTTATTCAGCAACCTTCCGCCCATTGTCAGTGTAAATTAATCTCAGCTGCTTCAGCCCAACATCTACATTATCAGGATGATGAAGATGAAACCGGTGTGGACATTTCATCAAAAACACAACCAAAGAAACTCTCAAATGGCTTCAGAGAGAGAAAATCAAGCTGTAGAAAGGCCCAGCCAATCACCTGACTCTATTCCAATAAAAATTACAACATAAAGCTCAGATTTGATAGATGAAACCCACAGAACCATCAAGACTTCATTCGCCATATGAGAGATGTCTTTAAGCTGGCATCATTAAAAAATCCATTTAAATAAAGTATTAAACACTTTTTAGTAGTTCAGAACTTTCTTTTTGGTCATTTCATTATTACATAACAGATTTTTTGTTTTGTTTTCTTATTTTTAATGTGTGTATTGTTTGGGTTTTTAACAAAATCTGGTTCAATTCCATGTCAGCAGCTCCTTTAGAAATATTATTCCCAGAAAAAAAAAAAAAAAAAAAAAAACTTTTTCCCAACTGTATGTTATGTTTAGTCAGTTTGCTTGTGCAAGTACTTGACTTGTTTCTTCTCAAAGTAACAGTGCCATCATGGCCTGACGTGCATAATACTTTTTTTTTTTTTTTTGCCATTTTCGTGAATTCTTGTCAGTGTGAATTGCTTTAACAATTTAGTTTTGTCAGGTGTGTATTATCAATAATGTCAAAAAAATAATAATTCTTAGGTTTAAAATTAATTCAAGCATTTATATATGTATTTGTAGGCGACGCGGTGGCACAGTAGGTAGTGCTGTCACCTCAGAGCAAGAAGGTTGCTGGTTCGAGCCTTGGCTGGGTCAGTTGGTGTTTCTGTGTGGAGTTTGCATGTTCTCCCTGTGTTCGCGTGGGTTTCCCTCGGGTGCTCCGGTTTCCCCCACAGCTTAAAAACATGTGGTATAGGTAAATTGGGTAAGCTAAATTGTCTGTAGTGTATGAGTGTGTATGGATGTTTCCCAGAGATGGGTTGCAGCTGGAAGGGCATCCGCTAAGTAAAATATAGGCTGGATAAGTTGGCGGTTCATTCCGCTGTGGCGTCCCAGATTAATAAAAGGACCAAGCCGAAAAGAAAATGAATGACTGAATGTATGTATTTGTTTGTTCAGAGCAGTTTCTGTGTGTAAGGTACAAATGTTTTTATTTTTATTTTTGAACGTTTTCCTTAGCTTTATTTTCTCTCAGGAAGATCCTTTTCTCCCTCACGGCTCACTACTTCAGACTAGAAGAAGGCGGTGAGCGTTCCCTCTGCATCACCTTTGCCTTTTTCTTCTTTGTGAAAGCCATGGCTATCCTTATCGTCACAGAGAACTACTTGGAATTTGGCCTCGAGACAGGTAAAGTGTCAAGTTATTTTTTAATATATTGGTTTCTCTTTATGCAGTATGTGGTATCACAGAATTTAAGACTGCAATATCTTTCATTGTAGTCCAACATTACACACTAAATAGTTCATGTAAGCTATGAAACTATGCTGATCTAACAAAGCAAGTAAGGTATAAACCTACATGCGCTCACATACAGACAATTTGTAGAAATTATTTTGTAGTGAAATTTCTGATGTATTGAAAATATAACATTGATGTCCCTACAGCATCTAAAACTCTTGGATGTGCTTTAAAGAGTCTGAAAATCCCAGCCCATTGACAACTCATAACCCAGCCAAAAGGAATGAAAAGTATCCCAATTTATTTCCTTGTCCAACCAGTCAATTGCTGAAATCCCACAAGGAAAAGGTTTACCATGCTTTCTCTAATATTTTGTAATACAAATACTTGTAGACAGTATATGTATTAAAGTACTAACTGACTTTTTACACTAAACAACACTTCTAAGTAACTTTATAAAATAGATCTGATGAAAAAAAAAAAAAAAAAAATATATATATATATATATATATATATATATATATATATATATATATATACTGTATATATATATATATACTGTATATATATGAATTTAATTAAATGCTAATGGTGCAATTTTATTATTTATGCTAAGCTATTAGTGCCCCCGCCTGTTTCAGAGAGTGATTGAATGAATTCACAAATGGTAAATCTCAGTTGTTTGACTGTAGGTGACTTGTAAAATTAATATTTGCAAAAAAAGTAGAGTGATCCTTAAATATTTGACCTGCCATCAAACGATTTTACTCATTTGCATGAGTTTTTGGGCATTCTAATTTCTTCCATTAATAATTGATTCAGTTTTCATTTTGTTTTTGCAAGAACAAAACATTTAGACAGCTGTGGCATATTATAAAAAACTCAACTCATAGCTTTTTTTTTTAGCAACTGCATTTTCAAAGCAGCCCAAATGTGCAGCAAAACCATGATCCTGGCACACACTGGACTTTGCCATAAATTATGCATAGGTGATTTTGATAAGTATTGTCACAACTGTAAACACAACAATATTCTTTTTTTTTTTCTGTATTAGCCATGATTTTAATACAAATGTATTAAATGTTCCCATATAATTCCTAAATTAAGTACATTTGTATTTTATTAATACGTTTTAGGAAATTCTTGCTAAAAGCCCTGTATATTTTTCATCATCATTCTAATGTTCTTTTTTAAAAAGCTGAACATTGATATATATTTTTTTAAATAAATATTTATTTATATTTTTGTATTGCAACAAAAGTGACTTGCTTGATGTCAATGTGCACAATGACAAATCAAAAATTATTATATTATTTTAGACTATAAATGTTGCCACATCTACTATAATTTTATTTTCATTCTTTACGATATTTGTTTAAATAATTTGTAACAATGTTTTCTCAATTTTGTTTCTGTTTTCTTATAGCAACACTGGACTTAGCCATAAACTATGCATAGTTGATTTTGACAAGTACTAATTGTCACAACTGTAAACACAACAGCACTCCTTTTTTCTATGTTAGCCATTATGATAGCTTTGTTTATAAAGCAAACTGTTAAGAAAACCACACACAGGTCTCACGAAATCCTAGTAAAATATATCCAACGAGATGATGACTTTGAAACTTTGGAAGTGTATCCAATGCTATTCACCATATGTGGCAGTGATCTGTAGGTGAATCCTATTCTGTGTGATTGTTAGTTTTCAGCACTGAAAATCATTTTTAAAAATGTCCCTATATAATTCTTAAATTAAGTACATTGGCATTTTATTTTTTATTTACGATTTTGAGAACCTCTCTTTACATTTTTCATCAGCATTGTAAAAAGATTTTAAAGTAGTCTAATACATATTGCTTGATATTGATTTAGTCTTTTTGGTATTAGTAACAAAAGTGACATGCTCGATAATGTCAGTGTGCACAATGAGTAAGTTTACATGGACGCCAATAATCCATTTTTAACACAGTTAAGACATTACTACATGTTTTTTCTTCCTTCCATTTAATCAGATAAAGGTCATAGTTGCATTATTAAAGTACAGCACAGGCATATAAACACTGGTTTGTCACATGGGGCTTGAATGAAATATTCCTGAATGAAAGTAAAAGTGCCAAACTGCAGTTAAAGTCGACAAATTAAAAATTAAACACCTGAAATTGCATGAAACTCCGGTGGAAATGTGGATAGCGTGGAGACACACTGAGGTTAATGGATCTATATGCTATTTAATATATAAAATGGGTTTCATGAAAGGAACATTCAAAAAGCAACTCATGTAAACACCTTGAATACACTTGATCATATCATCATTACTGATGTCCATGTAAATTTAGTCATTTATAAATCAAAAATTATTATATTATTTTAGACCAGGGGTCACCAATCTCGTTCCTGGAGGTCCGGTGCCCTGCAGGGTTTAGCTTCAACTTGCCTCAACACGTCTGCCTGGGTGTTTCAAGTATACCTGGTAAGACCTTGATTAGCTTGTTCAGGTGCGTTTGATTAGGGTTGGAGCTAAAATCTGCAGGACACCGGCCCTCCAGGAACAAGTTTGGTGATCCCTGTTTTAGACTATAAATATTGCCCACATCTACTTTAATTCATTATTTTGACATTTGTTATAAGAATTTGTAAGAAAGTTTCTCAATAAACAGTTTCTTCTTTTTGTAGGCTTTGCAAATTTTTCCGAAAGTGCCGTGCAGTTTTTGGAGAATCAAGGCCTCGAGTCTCAGTGAGTATTATGGCCAGTGATCATCCACGTAGGGTGTGTGTTTGTGTTTACAGTATAGCATGTCTCTGTGGGTTGAGATTAAGCAGTGTATGTGATGGTTTGTGCTTCCCTGCGGTGAACAGGCTTTGTTCTCTACCTCCGTCTCTACAGGGGCCCCATATCCAAGCTAACCTTTAAGCTGATCCTGGCACTTCTCTGCGCTCTCATTGGAGCCTTTCTCACCTTCCCCGGCCTGCGATTGGCCCAGATGCATCTCGATGCCCTCACGCTAAACAACTGCAAAGTCACACAGTAAATATTTCAATAATGTTTCAATAATCATAAGTCTACTTTAATGCGTTTACATAATTGATATTGTCCTTGATGATGTCCAGTGTAGGCGCAATTAGATTCAATAAGCAATTCAGTTATCAAATTACATTTCTGCTGAAAAAGCAAAGTAAGGTCAGGTAACTTAATTACCATTATAAAATACTTGCTTAAATAATGTACATAAATTCATCTGTTCTGTATAAACCAGGTTCAAGGAACCAGATTAATTATTTATATTTTGAAAAAATTATATTGTTTTAACTATAAAACGGCTACATTTATCAAGATAATTGCATATGCTTTAACAAGGCGAGAAATTAGTTCATGACATAATGAGCTATACATTTAGAGAACGTTATTTTTTGTTATTCAGATATTTTGCAGAATAATTAACTTTTTCAACTAAAGGATAGATTATACACGATTTGTACATGCCTGAGAAGGCATTAAATGTTTTTTTTTTAAAGTTAATGGCAATATGTTTATGAAATATGATGTTATTGTTTTTAAACGTTTTGGGTTTTGATATATATTTTGTTTAAAGGCTATATAGTGTTTTTTTATTATTTTAAATTATGTGAATAGTAATAATTACTTTTTGAAGTAACTGATTTTTATTAAACCAGCCAATTCAGTAGTTTTGTTGCTCTTATTAGCTGTTCTTTGACCATATATGATTGAGAAAATGCTCAATTGGTCCTTAACCGTTGATACAATGCAGGATGGATCCGAGCTTTCATATTGAGGACGCTAAATTCTGACCCTACCATCCAAATGTTGCAGCAGAAATCGAGACTCATCAGACCAGGCAACGTTATTCCAATCTTCTATTGTCCTATTTTGGTGAGCCTTTGCCAATAGTTGCCTCATTTCCCTGTTCTTAGCTGACAGGAGTGGCACTCAGGGTGTTCTTCTGCTGCTATAGCCCATCCACCTCAAGGTTGGATGTGTTGTACACTCAGAGGTACGCTCTTCTGCATACCTCGGTTGTAACAAGTGGTTATTTGAGTTACTGTTGCCTTTCAATCAGCTCAAACCAGTCTGGCCATTCTCCTCTGACCTCTGACATCAACAAGGCATTTGTGCCCACAGAACTGCCGCTTACTGGATATTCTCTCTTTTTCAGACCATTATATGTAAACCCTAGAAATGGTTGTGCGTGAAAATCCCAGTAGATCAGCAGTTTCTGAAATACTCAGAACAGCCTATCTAGCACCGACAACCATGCCACGTTCAAAGTCACTTAAATCACCTTTCTTCCCCATTCTGATGCTCGGTTTGAACTGCAGCAGATTGTCTTGACCATGTCCACATGCCTAAATGCATTGAGTTGCTGCCATGTAATTAGCTGATTAGAAATTTGTGTTAACGAGCAGTTGGACAGGGGTACCCAATAAAGTGGCTGGTGAGCGTATGTATAAAATATGGTGTCAGTAATTTTAAATGTATTGATGCATTTTAGAAATTATATTTTATTATATTTAAATATTATTACTTTTTGAAGTATCTTCTTTTTTTTAATCCAACCAGACCAGATTGTCAAAGAACGGCTAACAAGAACACCAAAACAGTGGCTGCATGTTATATATTTAGATCTGGATTTTTTTAATTTTTATTATTTATTTTTATTTATTTATTTATTTTTTGTCAAGCTGAATATAACAAGTTTGCTTTAAAAAAAGGATACCCACTAGCAATAATTCCATGTTAATTTACATTAAGAGTCAGTGTCTGACCACATCCTCAGCCAGTTATAAGTATTACCTCAGACCCTGTCTCCATTTTCAGCCAGCACTGAGCTCTAGGGTAACTGTGTTACAAAAGAGGAGTTAAGCATTACACATCTCACATAGCTAATCCTCTTCAGTGTGGCCAGCTCTCCATACCTGCTCTCATGACACTATGGGGCTTACAGTTACACCTCTTTTTGGCCTGGATTACATTCATGCTTTTTGTGCTTGGAAAATGCTATATTTAAAGCTGTGGTATTTTATGACATTTGATGCTCCACTAATATTAATGCACTGGTCTGTGATGATGACTAATATGTTGTTTTTATGCATTCATATTTCAGGACTTTGCTGCATATCAACTTCTTGGCCCCTTTAATCATGGTACTGCTATGGGTGAAGCCCATAACAAAGGATTACATAACAAATCCCACATTTGGAAAAGACAATGTGCCTTTGTGAGTACCTCACATCACTAGTTTATCAAATTAATGATTCTTTACCTCAAAGTATAACATTTTGTATGCACATTTCTGGTGTTTTTTGACTTGTTTCATTGGTTCACAGTATTATAAAGAAAGGTTATTTGCACTTTGTATGTATAGGTACAAGGCATAGATTATATTAATTTATTCTACCTTTAAGATGGATTTGTTTGACACAACAAAGACTGCAATTTGGGCAAATTAAATTTGAGTTTTTGTAAAAGTTAGTAACAATTTACTCTTTGTGGAATTCATTGAATCTCATTTGAATATTTCACATGTTTATGTCCCACTGAGGGTTAGTTTGAGTCGTGGATCTTAAAGGGATAGTTCACCCATAAATGGAAAATTACCTGCTATTTAGTCACTCTCAAGACCTGTGCACACCGAGACGTTTTTATCTCCCGACTAAACAACGATCGTGTACACCAACGTGCAAAACGCCTGGGGCAAAAGCGTAATTTTTTAAAAAACGCCTCATGCTCGTTTTTTGTATTGACGCGCCCGGTCAAAACCATGCCCACCAATTAGATCGGCACTTTTGTTTACATGCACGGAGCTGCTGAAGTTACAGTAAACAGCACTTGGAGGCACTCAAGCACAAAACTGCGAGCGCACATTGAAGAAGATGCTCAGAGGTGATGTGAACGTTTAGCTGCTTATTGCTCTTGTGAACAATAATCATTTTTTCATCGCTACAGCTGGAGCTGCTGCTTGAACCATCCATGCTTGTTCGAGTCACCAGTAACTTCAACAACAAGCATGTGAACTTCCTCTCCTCCTGTGTCACAAGCGGGTGTAAAGTTGTGTAGCGCCGACGATAAACACAAACGAAAACCGTCCCGGTGTGTAGGAGTCTTCAGGTGGTTCTAAATTTTCATTAGTTTCTTTATTCTGTATAACTCAAAAGCAGATATTTTGAAGAAAGCTAAAAATATGTAACTACTGACTCAAATAGTAGCAAAAACAAATACCATGGTAGTCAATAGTTGGTTTACAGCTTTCTTCAAAATGTGTTTTGTGTTCAACATAAGAAAGAATATAAAATTGGACTTGAACAAGTAAAGGGTGCAAATCTTCTAAGTAAAATTTACTCAGTTTAGATCAGGGGTCCGCAACTACAGGGCCATGGATCCACAACCCAGTTGGCAACAAATCAGGTGAATCCCAAATGATGGGGGCCTTTTAGGGGCCGTTCGCATATGATGTCTTTTCTAGTTCGCACAAGTTTGTTGCTTCCAATAAGGGTGCGCGGCTTGTGCGCACAAGCTGCTTGATGGGCTGGGGCCTTTCAGACCAGACACACCCAATTGAATGAATCCTGCGAGCGCACTGCGAGTCACGTGACAAGAACTGACCGATCAACTTGTATTGAATATACATACTTTGCTAAGACTAATTATCTCAGACAAACACAGAACACCCAAACACTGCAGTGCTTTGTAATTTTTTCTATAAATAAAATCCGTATCAGAGTGACAGCTGTTTTGTCAGCTTGTCTTCCACTGGGGAAATGGTTGATGGTCGCCTAGCAACTCCCCCCCCTACGGTCCTCGGTAAAATTATCAATCGTTGACTGGTCCGCGGTAATAAAAAAGTTGAAGACCACTGGTTTAGATAGTATTTGGCATGTCTCTAAATTGAGTTAAAGTTACTCAAGTTAATGAGACAATGAAAGGAATAATTAGCCTGCTAACACCTGCTATTAATAAACAAAAATACAGAAGAGAAACACAAAACTACAACTGACTTCAGTCACAGCCCTAGACAGCCCTAAACCAAATGTTAGGCCTTAAAAAAGTCTTAAAACCACTGAAATATTGTGTTATAGTTTGTAAATCCTGTTAAACGGGTCTTTATTTCCTTTGTCCTTGTAAAGTTATACCCAATTGGGCCAGCAACTTTCCAATCACTAACAATATATTTCAGTAAAAGTTTAAAGAAACGTTTATTTGGTAACTATTTACTTATTAATATGGTTTAATTATCTTCCTTACAATAACATTTGTTTTTAATTATTTTAAGGTTTAACTTGGCCATTAAAAAATTGTTAGCGTTTAGCCTTGTGCAAGTCTGAAATTTCATTCATCACAGTCTTAAAAAGATCTTAAAAAGTCTTGAATTTGACTTGATGAAGCATGTAGAAACCCTGCCTTAATGAAATCAGCTGAATTATAATATGTGGAATCTCTCAAAATCTCAGCAGAGGATCATTAAGCAGCTCCACAAACAACAGCTTTTTATCACCAACCTCTTTGTCTAAATAATCTAGAACCAAATAATTTCTGAACTAAGTGTTATTCATGGATTTTTGATGACAGAATTGTATTTTTGAGGGAACTATCACTTTTTGATTTGGATATTTATTCAGATCAAGTCTGATGGGTTCATACTAACACACTCTAAAAAATGTTGACTCATTTGATTGGCTCAAATAAGGGAAGATAGTGTGTGATATCTTCTAAGTAATCAAATAGTAATAAAAGTTAATCAGATTAATTAATAAAGTAGTGGAAAACTACACTACTTTTTAAAATATGGTTGCTTTTAGTATTTAATTACTTTTCAAAATTACCTTTTTAAAATATCCTTCCTAGCACTGCCAGGCAATCTAGGCATGACTTGCAGTTTTCTTCTCGATTTTCTATTCATAAATGCTTCACATTGCGATAACAAAAGATGTTCTTTCTGTTTACTTGAATTGATGTTTTGTTTTTTTCCTTGATACTTTTGTTTAACTCTCATTACTCAAGTCAAATGCCAAAGTTGGGGCTTATTTTACTGGCCATGATCGAGTGTGTCACTCTTCTTCATCTGCTTGCAGAATGTCTGAGAAGACGTATGACACATTGCGTCTGTGGGTGATCCTGCTTCTCTGTGTGCTGAGACTAGCCATGATGCGGCATCATCTCCAGGCCTACCTCAACTTGGCCCAGAAGGGCGTCTTACAAATGAAGAAGGAAGCGGGACGCATTAGTACTGTGGACCTCCAAAAAATGGTACATAGACTTTTAACACTTTTTTTTTCATGCTCCTGTTACATCTTGTTCTTTCAGATAAACGACGTGTCATTATATCAAAAATCCCAAAGATAGCAGGTAGTCTCAGAATAATGTCGATAATTTGCAATTACATTATCGAACACAAAGGCATCTTTTATTTTTGGCCCCTATCCCGAGCATCTTCAGTGGATTGTTCTTGTGATGTTTGATCTGATACTAGTTAATAAATGCACTCAGGGACCCTCTTGTGGCGTCTACTCTAGAGGCCTACATTACAGTGTCGACATTCCTCAAAGGTGGAAATATGTCGGTATGAAAAAGGACTGCGTGGCATTGTTGCCCTCAAAGCTCCAAAATGAGGAGGCTATTTGAGTTTAGTGGAGCGCAAGGATCAAAACCCACAGCACTCCACAGCTGGGGCTGAGGAAAAGAGCCCGTTTGATGTTCCAAGCCATAAGTGAGACTCGCAAATGGCTGTAGAGTCGCAGGGGTGTCTGGTCTTACATCTGCTGCAAAATCATATGCTCGCAGCCTCCCTCTGTACTTAAGCTCCCAGTGATGGTTTCAGCAAGTCTGTTTGATGAGCTCCTCTCCTGCCAAGCTGCTTGTTTTGAACAAAATTTGCCTAAGTGTTTTAACTGCAAATTTGTTTTCCCTCACACAGGTGGCCCGAGTCTTTTACTACCTGTGTGTAATAGCTCTACAGTACATTGCGCCTCTGGTGATGCTGTTACACACTACTTTGCTGCTAAAGACATTAGGTAAGTGCATTGAAGTTCTTCTTGACACAATCTCTATCAGCCCCGTTGGGTTTCTTGAAATTTTCAGACTCCTCTTTCAACCCCCAGGTGGACACTCGTGGGTGATTTACTCTGATGAGAGTTTGCCGTGTCTATCAAACGAGGACTCTAGCCCTGCCGAGGTGGGGCAAAGCCAGATGGAGGCCTCTCAAACTGTGGCCCAGCTGTCGGTTGCACTTGGGGGGCTGAGGACTGTTTTCTCCCCCTTGCTTTTTCGAGGGCTTCTGTCTTTCTTCACTTGGTGGATCGCCGCGTGTTTGTTCTCCACCTCTCTCTTCGGCCTTTTCTACCACCAGTATCTGATGGCTGCATAGCATCTTTAAGGGCTTGTTTCGACTGAACTTTGCAGCACGAGGCACTCAAACATTCCCCTTTCCTACAACCATATCAGTCGGGTTCTTCTCTGAAGGACTTCCGCATTGTTTTAAACTAACAAATTCACAAACGACAACAGTCATAATTCACTCACTGTAATATTCATCAATGCATCAACGAACAGGGGATGCCAACTGAAGGAGACCTTGAAATGCTGACTTTTTTATGAGCCACTAGAAGGTTGGAAGGAAGGGATCACTCATGGTCTTTGATGTACTTCATTTTATTTTTAATGAATTTCATAAGAACGACGATTTTTAATAGCATTTTTTTTTTTTTTGTTATTATACTTCTCTTAAGTAGATACTGGGTTCTGCTGTACGAGAGGTTTTCATTGTTGGTATGTGAAGTCAAAACAGTGTTTTTAGTCAAGCTGGGAGAGTGAAGTGAGGGGATTCATCCAGGAGAAATGTGCGTATTAAAGGTGTATTTATTTGTCTATTGTCTGAGGGTCTGAACCCAGCTTCCTCGCCAGGAGTATTTCATTTGACTGAAGAAGACTGATAGATAATTTAAGTGTGTGTGAGCGCGCAAGCGCATGTGAGAGTGACGGTTTGTGTGTTAACATCAGTGCCTGCAGGCTCCCAGTGACCCCTGCTGCTGGTGGGTAAATCTAAAAAGGGCATTTTGATCAAGTATAAAAGCTAACTCAAAAAAACTGTCTAAAGCAGTGGCCTCCGCTCATCTGATACCCTTCCCCGTCATTTAACCGGTCAGATGTTTCACTTTGAATTTCGGGTCCAGTGACTTCAAACACATCCTCTAAGTGGGCTCCATGTTTCTGGATAGAGCTTATTGATTTTCTGTAAAGCATCAAGTAACAGGATTGGATTTGTTTCATGTGAAGGTGCCAAGTATGCTTGTTTTCCCCCATGAGTGTGTACAGTATTTCCCGCTGGAAATCGGAAGCACACATGTAGAGGTGCAAGCCAAAAGAGAACATGCAGCTTGATCACAAAGAAACATAGTTTAATGAGGTCCACTTTAATATTGTATGATTGGGCACTACAGTTAGAAAAACTGCACAGAGGCATATCAGGTATGTTTTTTTTTCTTTTTCTTTTTTTTTTTGTGTCTGTTAGTCATTTTTAAGTGTTGACCTACTGTAAAGTCTTATTCTCACCCTCTGTTTTGAGTTTTGAGGAGGGTACGCAGACAATGAATGTATTGATCCTGCCTGATTTTTGATTGTTGTTATGATGGATTTTATTTTAACAAATCTACAGCTCTTTGCATTAACAAATATCAGTTGAATCAATCCTCCAAGGACATTTATCATCAACAGCACAATCAACATTTGTCTATATGCTGAAGCCTTTTTTATTTTAGTTGTTGATTCTCAAGCTGTGAACATTGAAGGACACAAATTTTATTTTAGCTGTAAACATTCACATCCTTTATTAATCAGCAATGGGCAATTTAGTCTTAACCTTTAGGATTTAGTTCACTGCCTTATTATGATTTCCCCACCATTAAAAATCAGAAAAATGACCAAAATTGATTAAAAATAAACTTTATTAAATTGTTACTAAGTACAACACCTTTTTACGGTTTTTTTCAGTAAGCATGTATGTTAACATTTCTGACCCTAATGCCAAATAACAGTGTACGAGGCTCATGACTGATCCATACTGAGATATTGTAGACAAATCACTTTTCTTCTCTTCAGTATTCCAGTAGAGACGTATCTGTTTTAAAACCCTTGGGCCTGAACTGATCTGTCGGTCTAATGCATTTAACTTTATTTATTATTTTTCAGTTTGTTTAATAAATGATTGTCAAGAAAACTTAAAGTCTCGTTGTCACATAATCCTTTTTACAAAGTTTTATTTCTTAAAATTGGCAGTTTTGTAATGTTGGAATTACTGTGAATGACATGAATTCGCACAGTGAATGGTTCTCGCTGGTGTAATGTTGTCCTGAGTGCTATTGTCGATACTGGCCTCCTCTTTTAGTAGCCGCTCTTGGATCAATGAGACAAATTCCAAAACAAACAGGCGAAGAGGCTCTTTTCTTTCCCTAAGAAGACTCCATTCACTCAAAGCATTTCATCCGAGGCCCACCGAGGGTCATCGTTCCCAGTGCCCGAACAAGTGAATCTTCTCAAAAGGTATCTTTTTAATGACCGCTCCACTGTCTGTGCTAAATAATGAGAGTTTCATTATTGTGTTAGCTCAGTTGAGAGCAGCAAAATAAATAATGAGAACTTGTAATAATGGGTGACCTAACCTTGTTCTTTTTGTCCAGAAATGAATAGACTGAAAGCACAGACTCTTGAGGAAGCTAACGAATCTGGATGCTTTCGTTTCGCACTTAGGGCTGTTTTCAAAGGCTATACTTGATTTTACATAATGCAAATGCACTCTGGAACAGTTTGTATGCAATGCATGAACGTGTTACTTGCAAACTAACTACTTAGACATTTACATGTCTGTGTAATTCACATCTATATTTTGTTTTACATAGAGAGGAGAATGAGAGCTATGATCTTATTTATGTTTTTAATATATATTGTAGAGTGTCTGAGAACGCACAGTGTTTGTAGTGTCAAATCTAATGCAATTAAATACACTCCATAATGATTTGAGGATGAAGCTCTCATCAGGGCATTTGAACAGAAGTGACTGCCCCCTTGTGAATGTGTGATGCAGTGACAGGTATAAACTGAGTGAGATCAGAGCACCTTTAATTTGACTGCATCCCTTGTCACTGGTTCTTAATTTTGTTTTTATCTTGCTACAAATTGTTTATTTTATCTCCGAGATGTTGTGCACATCAGAGCTGTTCGCACATAAAAATGGAATGCTGAGGAAAAGGTGCTTGACTTTAGGACAGGACAATCTGAGAAATATCTGAGGTATGTTAAAACATATTAAGAACCTTCATGATTAGTTCATATCTCGTTGTACAATATTAATTTGCATTTATGTTTTTAATTATGTCGCATTTTAATTGTATTACTCAATTATTATTTACAGTCATTTTAAAAACACTATTGGATTCCCAGATAAAAAGACATAGATCATTAAAAGGAATTATTGTAATTTATACATTGAAACAGAATTGTAAAACAATATAGGAACAATGTACATATACAGAGTTCTTCTGTATGTTTTGAAGAAAACACACACACACTAAATCCCATACACTTACAGAAAATAAACTTGAGCTTTACATCTGCAATGGTGTTAAAATAAGAATGTGTGGAATATAAGGAGCACATCTGAAATATGGGTTTGAAATGTGTAAAAGTGTAAATGATCACAGGTTTCATATCAAAACAAAGTTCCAAAATCATAATTCACAGAATAATCTCACAGCAATAGCAAACAATATTTATTTCACCTAGGGTCCTTTTACATATCCCAAATTCCATTATTTATATATATATATATATATATATATATATATATATATATATATATATATATATATATTTTTTTTTTTTTTTTTTTTTTTTTTTTTTAATTAAATTTTTTTTTAATTTTATAAATTGAAATGTATCCACACTCAATGATTATAATGGAGATCAGTGTCCAGACTCCAGGCTAGTTTTAATGTTTTAGATATCAAAAAAGCATGTTCACTTGAAACCAAGTAACACAATTTTACAATTTATTGAAAATTTACCAAAACATATTTTAAAAATCCTTTTAAAATTAAAACAGGGAAGAAAAGTAGGATTATTATGTTAAAAAAAAATTTACAACGCTATTAATTTCAAACTACAAAGTTTTTGATATATATATATAACATATAATATATGTGTGTGATATATGAGAAACATGTCTGAAATATGGTATTGGAACAATGTGTGCAGAAAGTGTAAAAACTTGATCACAGGTTTCATATTCAAACAAAAAGTTCCGAAATCATATTTCTTACAATAATCTCACAGCAATGACAAACAATATTTATTTTACAGAAGGTCCTTTTACATTTCCCAAAATCCATTTATTTAGGTGAATTGAATAAACTAAATCGGCCGTAGTGTATGTGTGTGGATGAGTGTGTATGGATGTTTCCCAGTACTAGGTTGCGGCTGGAGGGGTATCCGCTGTGTAAAACGTATGCTGGATAAGTTAACGGTTTATTCCACTGTGGTGACCCCAAAGGGACTAAGCTGAAGGAAAATGAATGAATGAAAATTTAACGCTTTTAAATCCTGTTAAAATTGAAATATGGAAGGAAAGGAGAATTATATATATATATATATATATATATATATATATATATATATATATATATATATATATATATATATATATATATATATATATATATATATATGTATATATAATTTTATTTTGATGGGTTGTCGTGAAGATATTTAGGTTTTCGTTTGTCCATGTTATAATGATGCTGTTTTATTTTTCACTGAAATTAATGTGTAAAATTATCTTAAAGTGACCTTTCAGAGGAGCTCTAGAGATGAAAAGCATGTCTATTATAGTGGGCTATGTGTATTTAAAAAAATTATTTAATGTTACACACATGCCCAGAACAAGCTATTGTCGCCATTTTAAATTTTAGTATTCACTCTAGATTTTGTTTGTACGTCTTTTCGTTTGATTAAGTCATTCAAATTTGACTGAAATGCACCTTAACAGCTGAATTCCACGTTTCTGTTTTGATGAAATCCCAAGGCCTCACATCGTTTTGGTCAAGCAGACTTCATCAGGCATGTGTCCACCGATCTATAATCCTCTTTAGCCCTTAGTTGCCCCTGATGTGTCCCTTGTGCCTCTATTTGAACTATGGCTAGTGGTCCGAGGGCAGCAAAGGTCGGCAGCCACTCAACCGAAGCCCCCATGGGACACCACTATTAGTCCAGCATACCAGCACTATCACTGAAGACATCAATGACCAGAAAAACACAACAAAAACCAGTGAGTATTTTTATTATTTTTATAATGACGTTCCATACAAAACATTTTCTACAAAGAGGCCAACACAAAACAATGTTAATTTAATAGGAAAATATGTGCTAGGGCATGCCATTCCAACTATGCTAATAGTGAAAATAAAAGTCACTTTTTTTTCTTTTTTTTTTTTTTTTTTTACATTTTAATCACTTAATAAGCATAATTTTGTTTATTTATTGTGTAGAATGAAATGTTGCACAAAGTTAAACATCATAAACACTTCCAAATATAGAATAAACAGTTACATATAAATAAAAGGATGTTTGGTGTAGGCCAGTGGTTCTCAAACTTTTACCACCTCAGAAAAAATGGTCTCTCCAAGTATCGTCATAATGACCAGTATTAAAATACAGTAGTGTAGCAGGCCTAATAAAGCAGCTGCAGCTCTGCACAGTTCAAAAACCAAGCGGATGAATTGCTATTATTAAAAATATTGGTCACATTTTACAATAAGGTTCATTAGTTAATGTTAATTAATGCATTTACTAACATGAACAAACAATGAACAATACATCTACTACTGTATTTGTTCATTTTAGTTAACGTTAGTTGATGAAAATACAGTAGTTCATTGTTAGTTCAGTGCATTAGTAAATGTTCAATTATGATTAATAAATGCTGTACATGTGTTGTTCATGATTAGTTCATGTTAGTAATTGCATTAACTAATGAACCTCATCGTAAAGTGCGTTACCAGAATATTTACTATTGTCAGCCACTTTAACCATTAAAAATAGTTTGAACATTAACTCTGCTTACAGGTAAACTTTTGCTCCTAAATCAAAAATAGCACTGTTTTTAAAGTAAAAAGAAAACTGCTTTACTGAAATTGAAAGTATTAACATATAGTAGCCTATTCATCAAAACCTGCAAATGTTCTTCAGACCTCATAAATATAAGCTATATGTCATCATATTCATATAAAAACTCTTTTTGATATATTTTTTTAAATAGGTGTTGCCTGTATATTTGACTTATTTGTATGTCTTTAAAATCTAAACATTAACTGGTATTTTAAATATATGATTTGGATTTACATATTTAAATAAATTAGATCTGCTTACTGCGTGTTAGAAAAGCAAGTCATTAAACCATACATGCCAACATTGGGATGTAAAAATATGGGAAATGCCCCCACCAACCATTACAAATATGGGGAGGAGAATAGCTTCAAATAATACATATCAAATATTAGAAAACTGAAAATGAAATAAAAGGTTTAGCCTATTAAAATCAATTTACTGATCACATCTGTGTTATATGCGTCATAGGGTTAAAAGTGTTTTCATTTAATTAATTATTCATCAATTTCTCGGCGTACCACACAAAACAACAATTCTGAGAAAATCACCTTTAAAAATATGTTGTAATTGAAGAAACATTTTGAATGTTTTCTTGCCATTAGACTAAAAAAACACTTTATTAACAAAACAGCACCTCAAAATCGACAGAAATGTTTGGTTTGCACTGTCTTGCCTTAACAAAATGTAAACAAAAATAAAAATGTTTATTTTGCTTCATGTGAAATAGCATTGTTTTACAGTGATGGCTGCATCCACTGCATTGCATAAATTGGCGGTTCATTTCGCTGTGGTGACCCCAGATTCTTAAAGGGACTTAGCCGAAAAGAAAATGGGTGGATGATTGAAATAGCACTATTGCATAAAAAGCAATAGTTAGCTTAGGATGGTGAGTCTTATGTCTGTTACATCTATAAATCAATGAGGTAAATGAGAGAGTATAATGATTCCAGAAGAACCGTGGGACGATCTTAGCTGCGCGTGTTCACACAACAATAAATCTCGAGGCAGAAGAAAGAAAACTTTACTGTTTCCTGCTCAGGGAAATCTTTCTTCA